CACCCCCCCCCCCACTCCCCTCACGGGGTGGTAAGTCACCTCAGCCTTTTTGTGTGTATTCTCATGCCAAAAAGACACGGTATAAATCTAATTCATTCGGCGTTGACAGTTCAGGCAAATAAAGAGGCTGGTGGAGTAGTTGCCTCAACATGCACTGACAAGAGAGATGGAGGGAGGGAGAGAGAGGGGGGAGAGAGAATGGAAAAGGGGGCATTACTCACATCTTGTTTCCGAGCCAGAGAAAATCAACGAGTCGACAGCTGCAAATGATAAAGAAGGAAAATTAGATGATAATGTAGGGATGATGAAAAAATAATCTGCTGCTTGTAGAACTCTAGCATTTCAATTTTCCTACCTAGGCTAAGTAGTGAAATAGAAAATATTTAAATGTTTGATTAGAAGATGGTTAAACAGCTTATTTGATAAAAATCAATACTTGGATTTGTCGGAGTCTCACCATGGGTGATGAACTCGATTTCATTTCTTGTTTTAATCGTAGGGACCACGCCAGATTCTTACGGAATGGAATTTTTAATAGAACCTGAATATGTTTGTTAAATGAAACCAGCCACTTAATATCGTGCTAATTTCTATTAATTATGTATTATTTATATTCTGGTAACTGGGGTGTGCGATAGACTTACCTCCACGTGGTGCACTCTGGGCAACGTATACTCATACGGCAAAAAAGTCTATTAACCGGCAGTTGACTTCTGACTTCAAACTACCATGACCCCACTGCATTTCATATTCGAATAATTTCACAGTACTCATCTTACCTTACCTTTTCTCTACCTTTGTGTCTGTCTGTCTATCTCTTTTACATCTGTGAATCATTGTTCTGTCCCCCTCTCGACTCTTTGCCACTTTGGTGTTCATCTTCCTTTCTATGAAGCCCGAAGTCAACTAAAGGGCTAATGATACCTATCATAACGCCTGCCATTTGAAATAAATAAATATAAATAAATATTCTGGTAACTTTTATACTTGAATTTCGTTTTATATGACCCGTATTTTCAATTACCTGATTCGAGCTTCCTTCAAACGCAATGAGCAGTATATTAGAATATCACTTAGATGGGACCTTCAGTTTTACCTAGCTTCGATTCAGGATTATACTAATTGAAGGGAATGAAGAGTTACTGAATACAATTAGGTCAATCAGGCATTCCACAGACTGATAGATGATTTGCAATGTCTCACCTTTAACGCAGGGTGTAATTTTCGATCTTGTCTGTTTGTAGCCCTCCATGCATCTATTGCACGTTTGACCAGTCACACCAGGTTTGCAGTGACATTGGCCAGTTTTACGGTCACAGGGTCGATTCCCACTTGATCCAATGCGATGACACTGACATTCTAAGCGAATATTTAAAAAAAATTAATTTACGATATTTCATGCCTAAAATGATGCCACCACACAAATCACAACAGTTAAGCACAACATCTATATCACATTTAATGCAGTCTCGGTAAATCTCTAAAACGAAAGCATAGATTTTTCATGAAATAAATTTGAAAAAAAGATTTATAACAGACAGTGTCATTTACTTCAAAGGAATTATTGATGATCTGAGCGACAAAACCTTAAATATCGTCACATCAATAAAACCGGAGAATATAAGAGCTGATAGTGATGTTTGGTTAGAGGGGTGCGCGATAGACTTGCCTCCGCGTGGTACACTCTGGGCAACGTATACTCATTCGGCAAAGTCTATAAACCGACAGTTGACCTCTGACTTCGAACTAAAATGATTTGACTGTATGTCATAGTCAACCACTTCTACAGTACTCAATTTACCTTTTTTCTCTATCTCCGTGTCTGTCTCTCTTACACCTGTGGTTCTCACTCTCATTAATCTGTTCCCCTCTCGACTTTTTGTGACTTTAATGTTCCTCCACTCTTTGAAGCACGAAGTCAACTAAGTGGCTAATGGTAACTATCATAAAGACTGCCCTTGGATATAAATAAATAAAAATAAATGTTTGGCTATAACTTACTCAGACAGACTCGGGGATGGCTGACGGGTTTTGTCCAATCCCTATAATAGCCTTCCATACATTGATGACACTTTTCCCCACTTGTATGATGTCGGCAGTCCTCGCATACTCCACCACTAATCTTCTTTGAAAGAAGGAAAACGTGTTGGGAGAAGGTACAGGTATTTGAATGGAGGTTGCATTCACAAGCTGGAATGGAAATGTTATAGACAACATCTAATGTGCACATAATATCAAATCATGATAGAGAATGAGGTTGGGGGAGGAGAGGGGGGAGGGAAGAACCCACAACAATCACTACAACGATTATTTACAACATTGATTGTGCTAATTTTAACCTTGACAAGCGTTGGGTGAGAATATGGAATATTCAGAGCGTCTGGTGTAACCGGCGATACATTCCTGACAGTGGACGCCTTCGGTATTATGTCCACAACTCAAGCAGACACCACCAGATCGCCCGCCGGATTTGCGATAGAGGTTGATGTCGAAAATGCATGTTGAAGTGTGATTATTGCACTGGCAAGCTGGAGAATTCGGATAGTTTGTTAACATCGAATAAAAAATACTCGCTTTTATTAAATGTGAGCATAATTGAAGGTTCAAATATTTTAGAATCTATCATATTTATGCCCTCGCACGTATTAATTAAGAAGACGACAAAGCATGTGGTGAATACTACTTGAACAAATCCTCGGCTAAGCTTTGACAATTTTTTTAGAAGATCAGCAAATACCACTAGCCTTTAACAGGGGGTAACTTGCTATCAAAGTTGGCTAGTCTATGCCCAAAATGCTAGAACACGTGATGAGTAAACTGACAAAGGCACGCAGAAACTTGCTTGTTGGAGATGCTGGAATTTCCTAGCAGAGAGAGAGAGAGAGAGAGATAGTCTTTTGGTGGTGTGGTGCACTCCACAAGTCTACCACTATTTTGTAGCTATACTCCCAAAAGATTGCAAGGATATTCGAGTAAAGCTTAAGAAATTGAATAATTTAAGTCATAATTTACAAGTTATATTCTAGGGCATTTTTAGGGAAATGCAATTTAAACAAATCGCAATACCCATTTACCTCTTCATGGTAGTCGGTTTGTTGGGAAATAGTTAATGTTTTACTAAGTATTTATTGAAATATATTCTTGGTTCTTACCAAAAAAAGATTTATATGAGAAATCATCGAATGCATATCACTTCTAATAATAATGAACCTTCAGAGGGAGGGTGCCTCATTCTCCCCTACTCAATTCTTAACTACTTATTTGAATGAATTTATTTAAACCCTCATTTCTACTCTCATAATGCATTAGGTGGGCGTAAACGCAAGCTCATACTAACTGACTTTTCCGCAACTTTGAAGATGGCCTAAGGCCAGATCGTACGAACTTTCACACCATAAGATTTGGCAATTTTTTACTTAAAAAAAGATTAAAAAATGTGGTTTTGGAATACCCGCTTTTAATCATTAAATTTGTTATTTTTCCAGCATAATTTTATATTAAAAAATTCTTTAAAAGCATTCTCTTATCCAAACTACAGTCCTTAAATACCTTAAGATAAAAGGCGGGTTAATGAAATTCACTTTTTGAATTTGTTTTAAATTTCTGAACTATGTGGTGACCTTTGTTTCTCCTTATTGACCTCACAGCAGTGTCTGATGTGGCAAAGAAAATAATTAATTCTAATAAGGCCCCGAAGGAAGACTGTGAGCGGTGCCTCTGTTACTTAAACCTCATTAGGTATCAGACATTTATTATCTTCCTATTTCAGCCAAAATTTTTTATGCATCGGTAACCTTGCCACTAATTGATGCTGAAGACTGACTTACACAACGGGATGGGATTATGGGAGGGGGGGGGGGATGAGGCTTAAGGCAGTAAAAAGGGCGTAGTAACCACCATCACCACCACCTACCAAGGTGGATGGCTCATAAACGTTCAGGTCAAACGTGATAAATCAGGCCCAACTTCACCTCTCTACCCCCCACCCCCCACCACATCCACAGTCCATCCCACAAGACAGGTGTGAAGTTGACAGCTGTCAAGGTCTGGGTGTGTGGGAATGGCAACCAGAGGACGGATAAATTTGTCCGTGAACGAGATATTGGATAGGATCGTCGTTGTCGTTGTCGTTGTTGTTACTTCAGATGACACAACACGTGTGTCATCAACATGCATAATTGCTGATCGTTTTAAGTGAAGCCACTTGACTGGCGTTACGAGAATTTGAAATTTTATTTTAAGTGCATTTAAGTGGAATTGTAAGTGAGTTGTGGACACACAAACTTGATTGAAATCCAATATATTCACTTATATCGAAATTTGAACATTGTTACATGGGTGCGTATATTTACTCGTTTGATAGGGGGATATAAAAGTGCTGTTGTTAAATTTCAAACCGCAATCATACCTTGTCATTTATTTCGAGCCTATATGATAAATGTCCCTTTTTCAATGCGCACATTTTTATGCCAATAACAAGTGCCTGAAGGCGTGGTATTTTATAACTTAGAGAGAAACTATTCCCCAAGTTCATTTTCAATTGTAACTTATCTTTGCTCGTTTTATATGCCAGAACAAAGATTTTGAGCGAAAGATTGAAATCACGTAGTTATCATTAATCGAAATGGAAACTCTTATTATCTGGGGTTAAAACAATGGCATGTGTAAGCTCAACGCGATTTTTTTAGTGCGATTTTACCGTTTTATGCTACCTGTGTGGAAAAAACGACCATAGGAAAATGTTGGTCAAACTAATCCATTTCGAAAACTCAAAATTAACACAGACCTAATTGCCAAGGCGGCAATAAAACATTAAGACCGTCAAATGGGCCGGTGGCGCGTGGTCGATATGGACGTTGGTCAGGTCAGCGATTCGATGAAATCGATGTTCATCTATGCACATCATGTGACGAAAATAACTAAACGCAGTAGATGATTTCGGCTTCATAGTTTGGCGACAGAATGCAAATTTCCAAAGATCCTTTCTTGGTGGGAGTGTGGAGGGGGGGGGGGGGGGAGTATTGTCGCTTCCTTTTCATATCATTTTAATGCATAGGTTTGGAACTTTACAGTGTAATTGATTGGCCAAATAATAATAATAATATAATCTGTACCGTCAACTTTGATTTGAATGCATATGGAGGTTGTATGCTTAGTAATACAGAAAATGTACCGAATATAGTCCCAAATTGAAATTGGCCTATATTCGCCTCGAAAAGCTATCAGACGCCTTGAATTCTATTGCTTAGCGTGAGGGAGGGAGGTGGAAACTGAGATTTTCAATTTTTGCAAAACAAAACATTAATTACATTGGTGTGTGCTTATATTAAATTCGGGTAAGTTTAGTTAGGAGTGTATTCATTTGGTACGAGTGGTCTGTTAAAACAACTCATTATTCAAAATGATAAATATTTGAAGATTAATAAAAGCAATCAATCTCTGACAAGAATTTTTTGAAATTTGGTATTTTGAAAATGAAAGTATGCTGATAGTCTTATAAGGCACGAAATCTGAGTTGGTTTATAAGGATTAAAAGTCCTCATTTGAACGAAGTCTCAAAAATTTAAGCCAAATTATTTTTTTGAAAAATGCACCCAACTGAATTCTAGTGTGTCTCACAGCAGACTAATGCCTCCGATGTGATGAACTTTGGTGATGGTATCAGTCGAAGGCTATAGACGTTTTGAACATGCTTCAAACGGCAATAGCGCCTTCTGTTATGAGTCTAGTAACAATGAGGCATATTTTGAAAAAGGACCATACGGTCGAAATGGTGTTAAGGGGACAAGAAAACAATTTTCTTAAAACATCAACTTCCCCTCCCCTCCCCCCCCCCCCAAACACCCTCAGGTTTTCTTTTACTGGCATGGATACGAGAATGAGAACTAGAAAAACAGTTCTGCAACTCTTGAATTGAAACTCCAAAGCAAGCATATGCTCACGCGCACACACGATTGGTGATAATAGAGGAAAGTGAAACTATGTTTTTGTGCACTTTTCTCTCCAAAATAATTGTATTATCGAAGTGATAAAAGTGGCTTTCAGCACTTCATTAGCGTATTGACCGTCGCTGTGGCAGGTGAAAAGCGAGGTCACGCTCACGAGAAAAACGATGCAAAAAGCCAGTGGCAATCAAAGTGGCGTGTTGGAATGAAATTCAAACAAAATTTCGTTGACCTAGTAACACATGGGGAGACAAATCGTATGCTATTTTATTTAAAACTGATACTGGTACACAATATACGGATAGACAGAATAGTCGTCTCCCATAAACACTATAAAAGGGTTGTTCGAGCTCCGGTATGGTGAATAGGTATCCCAGACTCACTAGTTCGAATAGATCCTCCAACAATTTCTCTGAAAATCTCAATATTATAGGTTAAAATAAGAGGAGTTACTTGTGAGTTTTAAAGAAAAGAATGAATTTTATTTTCAACTTCAGTGAATTCTGCGTTTTCTCTCAAAATTATGCTCCAACTATATAAAATAGAGTAACGGTTCAAAGCAAAGGATCAACAACTTTTGCTATATGCAAATTTCGGGATCTTAACTTCTTTAAACCTCACCGAATCATAAAGGAGCTCTGCCATCTTGAAGATATCTATACATGGCTCATCTACTTGCATAAAAATTACGAATTTGAATGGAGTGATCAGATTATCGGATTATTGATATCGCAAGCACAAACTCACCTAGGAACACAGATATTAAATTTGGAGAATTTTGACTTTGAAGCCTTTGAATAAATCATCCTCCCATTTGAGAAGGTGCTTCAAGAGCTTGATACAAAAGTTTCTCCCTCATAAAAAATCATTTCACTTTGTGGGAGGCAAATAGAAGTTTATAATATCGCAAATGCCTCCATTTACCTTCATGAAAAACGGGTGTGCGATAGACTTACCTCTACGTGGTGCACCCTGGGCAACGTATACTCATACGGCAAAAAACGGCAGTTGACTTCTCACTTCAAACTACCATCACCTCACAGTTTGTTATATTCGACTCCTTCCACAGTACTCATCTCACCTTTTTTATACCTTCATATCTGTCTTTATTACATCTTTGCAACTCACTTCTGCTCCCCCCTTCGACTTTTTTCACATTGATGTTCCTTCCACTCTGTGAAGCCTGAAGTCAACTAAAGTGCTAATGTTAACTATCAAAACGCCTGCCAATTGATATAAATAAATAAATAAATAAACCTTCATGAAAAACGGCCTCAGTTGATTGAAACCTCCAGGCTTTTACCAATAATTAATTTAAAGTTTTTTTTCTTTTAGCAAGCAATATTCAAATCCTGTCTATCACAGTTAAGCCTTAGCGTTATGCAAACAAAAGAAAAATACACACACACACACATACGCACACACACAGGGAGAGAGATAATGCGAGTTGATTACCCTAAGGTCTATTTTCATTAATCTAATTATCCCGAAAGATTATTACCAAATTGGACTGGAGGTGGCAGTATTAATTAAGGCTATCTTTCCTCACCTTTTCTTCACTCCACCATGAATAGTTGCAAATTAATTAATCCTAAATGAGGGCATTGTTTCTTCATTTTTTGGCACTATTATTTTTAATGATATCTTTTAATAATTATTTCATTGTTATACTTATAAATTTTCCAAAAAATGTTGTTAAACCTGCCATACACTTTGTTTGAACGATTATTGTCCGAAAGCAAAAAGATATTTTGTTTAAAACCGCCGAATTTGTGAATTCCGTTGGTTAAATGAATTTGTTACTACAATATACCAATTATCTACTTAAAAAAATTAGTAAAACATGGACCGCATATTATAGGCCTGAAAGCATCTAGTTTTCTAGAATTCGAAACACGGAAATTGAGCTTGGAACATCTGCTTACTTCATTTTAGAATGTTCACATAGTGTGAGAGTGGACAACTTCTGAAGTTCTGACATCGTCAGTACAGATATTATCCACCGTCCCTAATTTGCAACATTTTCTTTTCGCACTACCATGGATAAAGATAACAACTCAGCTAAAAGAAAGTGATTATTAGGGCCACTGATTGCTGAAAATTATTGTTTGCACTGCCAAAAACATATTTCTTCTTAGCCCAATGAAATAGGTCGCCCGTTCGTATATCACCTATTTATCTTCCTTACAGATATGTCCTCTCCCTCCCTCTCTCTCTCCTCTTCTCTTTGCTTACAAAAACGAGTACCTTGCCATGGTTATGCTTCAATGGAATATCCCCACCTCAATGGTGTATACACTAGGGCACAGTGTTGCGCATAATAAGTCCTATTTTCGTATTTATCTACAATGCACAGTAAAGAAACATATCCGGGTGATAATATCTTATTATCCTCATAATGACGGAAAAAGGAAAGCTCTCACATTATTTAAATCTAATCAGGACTAACAAAGGGTAAGGAATTTGCGGTTCTTTGGTGGTGGTGGTGGGGGGGGGGGTTTAAATTCAAGCAAAACAATTTGGTGAACTCTGATAAAATCGTTCTTTTGTGGCGAATTGTATTATTCTTGAAATATGAGTAGTTAAATCTGTTATTTTTTGTGTTCACATTCATCAAGCAGTCGAAATTGACTAAATTTACTTGTCAGTCGTGGGTCAGTCTATTGGATGGAAGAGTTTGCTAAGCATACATCTTGAATGTTGCTTGGAACACTTCCACTTTAGTCATCTCCAAAATGAGCTCTTTTTGCTAACTAGACGAGCACCTACCGAACTTCGACCTTCTTTATAGCTAAATGAATTGACTACAAGGGGAAATAATTGGGTGATTGGATAATCTAAATTGAGGGTATAGGTAAAAATGCTGTGTTTGTATACGCAGCTGATTAAAATGTGTCTTCGTCTTTAGTAGAATCTAGTGAAATTCGTTGCTACCAGTAGACTGGCAATCGACTGAATGCCTCATCAAAATTAAGCAACCACTCAGTAAACTCTGAACAGGGAACAAATCCTAGGTAATATCCAAGGAGTAAAGGAACGTGCATTTTGAATCAAAATTCCACATTTGATGCTCTGATTGATCTTCTCCCAACTCATGTTGAATTACTATAACATTCCTTGTAGTCGACTTGCAGTGAATGATATCAAAATGGCATCCACACGTAGTAAGACATTGTAAACATATAATGAGGCATGTTTAAAGTATTGGAATGCTGTTGAGCCTATACTGAGCGAAGGAAAAGACGCCCCACAAAAAGAGTTGCCCAATTGACTTTATCATGATTTTACTATCTAAATTTCAAGCCTAAAAATAGATTTTAAACCTACTCAAAGCTATAATATTATATTAGTATTATGCAACTCGCATAAAGTAAGTTAAGTAGCTATATATATATATCAAAACGCGGTTTTGATTAGCGTGAGCGCGCCTTATCTAGCGATGGGATCAACTTTTTATGCCTATCACCCACAAATTCTACCAAGTGCCAATGGAGGTGGATGAAATTGTATTTCGAAAATTCTCAACTTTTTTTCGTACAATTCAAAAAAGGAAGTGGGAAGAACTACTTCTCCAAGAAATGGGAGGCGGGGGAGGGGCGGGGGGGGGGGGGGGGGGGGGGGGGGGGGGTAGGAGGAAACATGTAGTAAGTGCAAATTGCATGTTGAACCCCAAAAGAGAGAACGTCAAAATATCTAACACTAGATACGGTGTTAACTCATCATGACACGCAAACTTCGGATATTTTCCTGGCCGATTAATGACAAAAGAATGGACACGATTGCTCATCAAGTAGCGAGGGGAGGGGGAGGGGGAGAGGACAACTTTCCCAATTGCCTGATAAATATTAGAATAGCCCACTCGTCCTCTCCCCCCCCCTCCCCCAAAACAACACTTGTTTTCTTTTTGTTTATTTGCTAAATGGTTGGGGGGGGGGGGGGGGGGGGGGGGGGTGTGGGGG